TGGGGAATCCTGGGAGTTGAAGTCCACACCTCTTCAAGTTGCCAAGGTTGAGAAACACTGATATAAGTAGTATTGCATAATGAACTCCAGCCATTGTGTATTTAACTCAAATTTTGCTACAATAGGCTCAATTCTTAGCTATGGGTCATCCGCCAACCAGGGGTTTTTAACCCAGGGACTCCCTGTAGTCATTTTTTTTTAATAGCTGCCAAGCTAGCATTGACTTTCAGCCTCCTTTTTATATCACTGTGAGCCGGAGATATTTCTAGGAAATTAAAATATTGGTGCTTGGACTGGATTGCTCCCACTTTTCCAAGAAAAAAAGCAAGCTGGCCAGCACCGGGGGCAGGAAGGGCGTCTTTCCCACACGAATGCATTTTACAACTGACTGTGGGAAAGAGGTAAAATCACCTTCAACCTGGGCTGCCGTCGTGGCTAAACAGAGTTATGCTGGCCAGCACGTGGACGCGGTCCGCCTCGTGGATGTTTTTCAGCTTCCCATTGTAGCCTGCAGCTTTGGTATCTCCTGGTGGTGCCCCATCCAGTGCCCAGGTTTGGCTGCAGCTTTTTCAAAACTGGACTGAACAACAGGAGGGGTAGAAGCCAAACCCTGCAGGCTCCCTTTGGCTACCGAATGGCTTTGATTGATTGATTGATTGATTGAGCAACTCCAACAGACTGTGGGCCATGCAAGAGGGCAGCAAGCACGCCCTCTAGCGGCTCGGTTGGGCCACTGCACCCGTAAAGGGCATTGGTAGCCCAGCCGGAAAAGCCTGCCCTCTAGTGGCTCACCTTGGCCACTGCTCCCATCTGGCACCACCTTCTCAGAGGAACCCATTGTAGGAAAAGGCGCAAGCTTTCGGGAGCTGCAGCGCGCTTCGTCAGTCAAGGCCCGCCGTCCACAGAAAGGGGGGGGCTCGCACAGGGCCGCCAAACGTCTGCTCCCGGGGGGGGGAGAGCATTGCACGAGGCAAGGAAGCGCTCTTCCTCGCGAGCAAGTCGCTCTGCAAGCGCTGGGGCTCGGCCCCGATCCTCTTGGGAACCCACTCGCGGCAGCGCGGAAACCAAGATGTCCATGGTTTAGCCATGTTGGGCTAAAGGTGGCTGAGCCAGCAAGCCACCTTTCGGCCAGCTTGAGCTTACGCGCCCTCCGCGAACCCCAACCGGGCCTTGCTTTCCCGCAGAGCTGCTCCTCTGCCGCCCTCCCCCTCCCCTTTCTTCGCAAAAGGGGCGAGAAGACCCCGCGCCCCCCCCCCGCCTTACCAAGACGCAGGAAGGGCCCCCTCCGCTGACTGCACGGCTGTTCTCCCAGGCAAGGGGGCGGGGCCCGCGGCCGGGATGATAGGCGGAGCGGCCACCCAATCGGCGCGAGAGGAAGAGAAGGAGAACCTGGGGAAAGGGGCGGGATCAAAAAGAGAGAGAGAGAAAGAGGCGTGCGGGCGCCGCGAGATTGACTTCTCGTGCTCATTCGAATTCTAGTTTCCGTTGCTCACAGGGTGGGCAGCATGAGCTTTGTAGTCCGCCGAGACACCCCTCTCCGAATGGGTAGAGCCGGAGCAGGACGGCCCGCAATCCGGCGTTAGTTCTTTGCGCGTGCAACTGAATTATACGATGGACTGTCGCGGTCCGCGCGCGTGGGTTTGGGGCCGGGTCAGGTGCGTCGTGCGAACGCGACCCTAACCCGGGTCACTCCCATCTCCAACGGGGCGGCTGAGTAAACCCGGGTTTGGGTGCACCGGAAGGCGGCGGCTGCTTTTCAACCAAGGTTAGCCGGGACCAGCTTTGTGGTGGGTTTGCCCAGGCTCGGCTTCTCGGGTGAAGAGAAGCCTGGCAAACCGGATAAACTGAACCCACCGTGCTGAATTAACCACGGATAAGGGAGTCGTGTGCAGATAACCCATGTTGTACGAAGCCAGCCCAGATCTGCTTCTGGATATCAGTCCTGCTTACCCGGAAAAGTGGATTGAGGTCTTCTTGGCTGGCTTCAGAGAACCCACAGCCGCCTCTGGCTTTGAGGGAGTAGGAAAAAACGAGAAAGAAAAATAAGCAATGGACAAAATGAGAAACAAAATTAAACCCAAACAGAAACTAAAATAGACACTATAAAACAAATATACTCATTAGAGCAGTGTTTCTCAACCTTGGCGACTTCCTTAATATCTGCTGTTTCTTTTACCATCACAACTCTACCCCACCCCACCCCCCCCCCGCCACCCCCTGGGTGGTTGCTGAGTGCTTTTCATAGGGAGG